TTCAGGGTTTAGGGTTTAGCGTTTAGGGTTTATGTAGGGTTCAGGGTTTAGAGTGTAGGGTTTAGGGTTTAGGGTTTAGGGGGTCTCGGGGGTTTCGTTCCTGAGCCTTCGACGACGTCAACCCTACATCGCGCTGGGCTTGAGGTCTCGGGATTGTACGGAGGTTGTGAAGCTCTATACAATACTAAACCCTAAGCCCTACCCGGATAGGCCATTCTACCGCAGAGCCCCTTACCCAAGGCCTCTTCTAGGGGTGATGACCCTAAACCCTAAACCCTAAACCCTAAACCCTAAACCCTAAATTGGAAGGCACCTAGAAGCCTGAAACCTCCTACTCGCAAGCCTTCACTACTCGAATCTCGCAGTCGAGATCCTCAACCTTATAGAAGCTTGGGGGGTGTGTCTATGATACTTGCCTCCTGCAACCACCTGTCATGAAACCCTAAACCCTAAACCCTAAACCTTAAAAACTAAACAGGTCTGACTTGGGCTTGGTGTTCCAGGTACACCAAAAAGCCCTAAAAGTTTATAAGCCCCAAACCCTTATAAACCCTCTACACCCTTGTAAACCCTAAACCCTTTTTAACCCTCAACCCGTACAAACCCTAAACCCTAAACCCTTCTAAATATCCTTATAAGCAAACCCTGTATAGACCCTAAGCCCATGACCCTTAACCCTTATGACCCCTCCACTCAAAACCCTAGACCCTTAGAAATCAGCCCTGCGTAAACCCGAAGCTCTAAACCCTAGACGCTTATCAACAAACCCTGTACAAACCCTTACAAATCCCAAACTCCAAGCACTAGACCCTTAGAAATAAACCCTTACAAACCCTAAACTCTAAGCCCTAGACCCTTTTTAACAAACCCTGTATAAACCCTTACAAACTCTAAACTAGACCCTTAGTAACAAACCCTGTATAAACCCTTACAAACCCGAAGCCCTAAACCAAAACCCTTAAACCTCGTTGGCCAACTAGCTGGCATGCGGGCTGGGCCTCCGGACGGAGCAGATCAAAGAGCTCCCTGTGTGGCCGCATAGGGTTTGAGGTTTAGGGTTTAGGGTTTAGGGTTTAGGGTTTAGGGTTTAGGCTTTAGGCTTTAGGGTTTAGGGTTTAGGGTTTAGGGCTCAGGGTTTAGGGTTCCTTAAGGTTCCTTACCCTTGGGGACCACATGAACTTTATCATTTTGGGTCATACACCCTTTACTACTCTTATTCCTATTACGGTATGAGGACCACAAACCTTCGAAGCTTCAGTTCGTCCCAAGGTAAGCCCTTAACCCTAAGGCTCTAAGGACTCTAATGCGTTTTTGGGCCCAAAGGCCTTCTTACATAAAGTTTTTTTGGGCTATTGCCTAAAGGTGAGGCTCTCATGTTTAGGGCGTAGGGATCTTTAGGGTACAGGAATTTGGGCTGTTTGAATTTCAGAAATAACTGCTCGACTCAGGGCTCTGGGCATAACTTTCGCCGTGCCTGATCACCCACGACATTGACTAGACAGATGATGCAGCCGTGCAGCCCCCTAAACCCTAAACCCTAAACCCTGAACTCTAGGCAGTGTGAGTTTTTCGTGACAGCCATGCGTCTACACACCTGCCTACCGCACCACCGTCTAGCAGTTTTGTAAGGAACCCCTATAGCCCTAAAGACAAACCTCATCCTCTTCTGTCTACGCTTGGCCGGAATTACGGTCTCGCGAATTGCCATTTGGCCCATCGTTGCTGGTTTAGGGTTCAGAGTCTTTAGGGTGTGTGGTGCAGAGGCCTTTCTCAGTAGCTTGTCGGGGTCTCGCTACCTGATTCCTACAACTCACACCCTCAGCCCTAAAACCTAAACCCTAAACCCTAAACCCTAGACCCTAAACCCTAAAACTCGCAATGTTGCCATGTCACGTCAGGGCATCATGCTCCCGCTCGGACGCACCAGCCGGCCTGTAGATGGTGACAGTAGAGCTGTGGGCATGCCAGCACGCGGTTGAACCCGTTTAGGGTTTAGGGCTTGGGGCCGGTTAGGTTTGAGGCCGTTTAGGGTTTAGGGTTTAGGGTTTAGGGTTTAGGGTTTCGGGAAGCAACCCAAAAAGGCTTAAAAGAGCCCCGGAGAGCTTGAACGCCATGCGTTATTTTAGGGTCTTGGGTCTACCGGCAAAAAGCCACCGGACCGCGTGCCTTAGTCAGCGCCAGGGGCAAGACATCTCTTGGGGACTCGATGAGCCCAATTCCTAGAACCCAGACTAGGCCCTTATTCCTTTTTGGAGGATTTGGCCTCCCTTTTCAGTCCCTCTCAAGGCCCAGAGCAGGGCCCTATTCTCTGTTTTTAGGGTTTAGGGTTTAGGGTTACTGTAGGGACACAGAGTAGGCCCTTATTCCTTTTCTGTAGGGTTCAGCTTCGCTTTTACCAATCCTCGAAACCAAAAAAGGGCACCCTTTCAATTCCTAGCTTGCTCTTAGCTCTAGCTGAAGCAGTCCTTAAGAACCCAAGACCTGTTTTGTTGCAGTTCACCTTATAGGATTCGCAGGCAACCTACAAAACGTAGGCTGAGGGTTCTTAAGTTTCTTAAGGTTGGGGTCTCACCTTCCTTAGAATCCCTTGAAGGCACAGGGACTATGAATCCGAAGCCCGAAGCCCGAAACCCTTAAAGTGTTTCGGGTTTAGGACTTAAACCCCAAACCCCGAACCCTAAGCCCTTGCAAGGTTCATCTTGTCCCCAAAGGCCCAGGGCTCAGGCCCAGTGCTAACGAACCGCTTGGCCCCCCTACCGGCGGGGTGCGCGCGCGTGGAGACGCAAGATGTTGCACTTCCGACTTGATGGTTCCAGGGAGTTTAGGGTTTAGGGTTTAGGGTTTAGGGAGTTTGGGGTTTAAAGTTTAACCCTATTAAGTTTTAGGGTTCAGGGCTTGATGGTTCCAGGGAGTTTGGGGTTTGCGGTTTGGGGTTGAGGCTTAGGATTCTATATCCCCCGAAGACGCTCTTAGAGCACCTACTTACGAAGTTCCCTCAGCCCCTAAGGTTTAAGGTTCAGAGCCTCCCAGTACCCCCCGTTAGCCTAGCAGGGCGTCTTACTGCTCGGATGTCTCAACAAGGGGGTTTAGGGGCCAGGGTTAAACACTAAACCCTCAACCCTCAACATCCAAAAGCCGAAGCTTGGTAATCCTTGGCCCCATGCGCAGGCGTACAGGAAAGCTAACCGATCGGACTTGTCGCTGATGATGATCGAGAAGCTCACGCATCAGCCCAAGCTCCTTCAGAGGTTTAGGGTTTAGGGTTCAGGGTTTAGGGTGTAGGTGTTAGGGTTTAGGGTTTAGGGTTTAGGGTTTAGGGTTTAGGGTTTGGGGTTTAGGGTTTAGGGTTTAGGGTTTAGGGAAGGCGAGGTGTTCCTTCAGTGGTCCCTTAGAAAACAATCTGGAGCTTCAATCCTCAGTCCTGAGTTTCCCTGAGCCCTAAAACCCCTTTGGGCTAGCAATGAGTACGGGTCGTTCTAGGTATATAGGCTTTGGATCTCCCACAACCATGGGCAGAGGCCCCCAAGTACAGCAGAATCGTCCGAAAAGGACCTCCCCGGTAACCCTCAGGAACCACTTCAAGGGTACTTTGGGGTTGACTACTGCACAAGGGAAATGTCATGGCCCTGTAGTATGGTCCCTTACCTCTGCAAATTGTTCTGAAGTATGAGGGCTTGGTTTTATGGGGTATATAAGGGCATATAGAACGGCTCCCCAAAGAAGGGCCCAGGCCCAGATAGCTATGATAATCCCGACTAAGGATCTGCTTCAAAAAGGGGGAACATCCCAAGGGCCATATAGAACAACCCTAAGAAAGAAACAAAACATGCCTTTCGGAGGCACAACGCTGTCGTGGAGCGTCGCTTCAAGGACGCCTCAAAGCGGTGGCCCACCGTTGGCCTTCCTTTCAGCGTTCTGTCTTTGCTGCCTTAGCCTGGAAGCAGCCCCTACCAAGCCCAGCATGAAAGCGTAAGTACCCCTTAATGGAGGGGTCTCCAGGGAGATCATGCCCCTTGAAGCTTATAATCCCCATACTAGGACCCAGGCCGAAATGATCAACTAGATTTTGGTCTAACTTCTCCGTGGTTGTTTGGATGATCGTGATATGGGGGAGGGGGGACGGGGGACGACCGGAATCTCAGCTGGCAACCTGAAGGCAAAAGAACCCTACTTGGCCCTAAAACTGTAGTCCCTTAGCCCGCGCTCTCCTGCCTAGAGCCCTCCAAACCGAAATCCTAAAGCGGGGTTTCCGAAATAAGCGGGACCATCTTGGGCCCATATTTCATATGATAAGGGAATATATGTGGCGGTCCATCATAGGGGTCTCTTATGTTCGTAAACTCCCAACTCATCCCACAATCCCTAAGCCACCCGCTGCCATGCTTTTAGGGTTTATGGTGTAGGGTTTAGGGTTTAGGGTTTGGGTTCACAGCTGCCGGCTTTCAAGGTCTCTCGGACCAGAGTAGGGCCCGTAATCGCTTTTTGTAGGGTTTTAGGTTCGCTTATGAATTTTATGCCCCTTTAACCACAAAAAGGGGCACCCCTTTTTGGGGACCAACCCAGGCTTAGAAACCCTGTAAAGTGAGCCCTAAACCCACCCTTGGCAGACTTGTGAGCTGGCTCGGAGAGATGTCTTCCTAGTCAGAATCCCCCCCACCCTAAGAAACACCCAAGCCAAGCCTCTAGAACCCAGAACGCCTTAAACCTTAAACCCTAAACCCTAAACACTAAACAAACCCTAAACCCTAAGCCCTAAACCCTAAACCCTAAGCTCTAAGCCCTAAACCCTAAGCCCTAAGCCCTCAACCCCAACGCCCAACACCCCGCAACCCAAGCCCAACACCGCTAGAGCCTGACGTCCTCCAAGCGGTGAACTGCAGCCTCGGACCCCGAAGGCCTTAAGACTCTTGCAACCCTGAACCCTGGCGGGTTTAGGGTTCAGGGGTTAGGCGTTAGGGGTTTAGGGTTTAGGGTTTAGGGCCCTACCGATTCTGTGTGCCATGGAGACAGCGGAGACGTCGGAGAGCAAGGTGAAGAGGCTGGGCTCGGCGATGGCGGACCGGCTCGCACAGGTGGAAGGAGCAACATGCTTTAGGTTTCTACCATTTGTGTAGGGTTTACAGGGTGTAGGGTTATAGGGTTTAAATAGGGTTTAGGGTTTAATTCGGGTTTAGGGTTTAATTAGGGTTTAGGGTTTCTGCTGTTTGTTTAAGTCCCCCCAGGTCCCTGTTCGGGGACTCAGGGTTTGTAGGGTTTGTAGGGTTTGTAGGGCTTATCTAAGGGTAGCTAGAAGGGCCCTAAAATGGTCCCTTACCCTCTTTAAAGGTTCTGAGGTAGGGGCCCTTGGGTGGTATAGGGTGTACATGGGGTATATAAAGGGGTCCCCGTTTAGCGGCCCATACTAAGGGACCATGTAACGACCCATAGATAGTTTTAATCCCTCTCCTCAAAAAAAAAAAAGGAGAACAGTATTCCTCCTTATAAGAGTAGTGCAGGGAGTATTTTCTTGTATTTTGAGTTTTTTTCTGGGGGGGGGGGGGGTTCTCAAGCAAATATTAGGTTTTCTACCGCATACGGTCCCTGGATGAAGGGCTTGGGGACTTGTTCACTCCGTGTTTTGGGTGGAACGCTTTTTTAAAGTCAGGGGCACCCTTCTTGGGGGTTTGCTGTAATGAGGTTCGTACACTTTTTGCGATACGGGTATGTTAGGTACCCTTATTCTGGGAAATAGGCCTAGAGAGCCCTAAAAAGGCCTACAACCCCAAAACCCACACCCGAAGCCCTTAGCACGCTGGAACCCTAAACCCCAAATCCTAAACCCCAAACCCCAAACCCTAAACCCCAAACCCTAAACCCCAAACCCTAAACTCCAAACCCCAAACCCTAAACCCCAAAACCCCAACACCCGAAATCCCAAACCCTAAACCCCAAACCCAAAACCCCAAACCCTAAACCCTACACCCTGGAGGAGCTCCTAACGACCTTTTCCGTCGATTTATGGATTCTGAAGCGCGGGTGCCCATCAGCGTGATGCTCATGGACAAAGGCGGAGAGGGCAATCTGAGGGAGCTGTGTGCCCTAAACCCTAAACCCTAAACCCTAAACCCTAAACCCTAAACCCTAAACCCTAAACCCTATACTTGTACAACTCGAGGGTTGAGGGTTTATTTATGGTTTCACTTGTTACCCTGCACTTGCAGAGACTAATTAACTGGGGCCTAAAGGGTTCCGGTAAACGAATGGCTAGGTTCGTGAAAGTGTAGGGTTAGTTGGGGAGTCGACCTTGAATACCTATCCAGACTAGAGGCACTCTTTTTGAAGGCCCCCCCGCTCCCTCCCCCCAGATCCAGAATAAGGTTCCCTGTTAAAGGCTCTAGCATTGGCCCCCCAAACCCATGAAGACATTCTATCCTGTGTGTATATATTTTATGTATATGTTGTGATTTCGTTTTCCTGTTTATCGTCGAGAATATCTTTTGTACATGATTTCGGTATATATATATATATATTTATATTTATTTATTTGTTTTTTGTTTGTTTATTTGTTTATTTGTTTATTGTGTATTTGTTTATTTGTTTATTTATTTATCTTCTTGTTTTTTTACATATATACATATATATACATATTTATTATTATTTATTTGATTATAGTTAAAATTTGGTATAGTATAGTATAATGTAATATAATATAATATATTGTAATATAATGTATTACAATATAATATAGTATAACATAGTACAATATTGTATCATATAGTATAACATAAGATAAGATAATATAATATAGTATGATAAGATGTGCGCTTGTCAGGACTCCGGAAGTCTGCGTTGCGGGCCGCGGGTGAAGGTGGTCGAGCGCTTGCCCGGGCCTTCGAGTGCCTCCAACTGGCGGCCGTCGCACACGAGGAGCGGTTTAGGGTTTAGGGTTTAGGGTTTGGGGTTTGGGGTTTGGGGTTTAGGGTTTTGTCCCTGACCCTAAACCCTAAAGAAACCCTAAAGCCTAAACCAGTATCCCGGAATCCCTGAGTTCGCAAGAGGATCTTGACGTGCAGCACCTGCCCCGGACCACGGTGCGCTCGAATCAGAAGAAGGATGCTGGCCATCACATCGGGGTGTCGCGAAACTGCGGTTTAGGGTTTAGGGTTTAGGGTTTGGGGTTTAGGGTTTAGGGTTTGGGGTTTAGGGTTTAGGGTTTAGGGTTTTCGCGGTTTGTGGGCCAGCGGCCAACCCTAACGCCATGCACTTAGACTCGGATTAGGATTAGGGTGTACGAAAATCTTGACTTTTCGGCCCTGAAAGTCCTCTGCACTAATCCTAAACCAGACCCTCCCGACCCCCACCTATTCTGAGAGTTTCCCGGCATGTTTCTGAGAATGTGGGGGGGCGGAGGTGGGGGAGGGTTGGGGGCCGTTGTCCAGTCATGGCCTCGTGGACCCTGTGTGTGATTTGGGCGAGGAGTTGCCCGAACGATCAGCGTTGCCATTCATCGCACCTGGAAGCAGCCCTATGCGGGTAGTTCTCTAAATTACGGTCCCTTGTTGGGGTCCGATATGGTCCCATAGATAGTACACCCGCATAATAGGACCCCTACAACGGGACCCTATTTCTTACAGGACTTCCCATGTGAGGTTTTCTAACGATTGTGTGGCGCTTCCTTTGGGGTCGTTTGGAAGAGCTTTGGATTCAAGGGGCCTTTTGGCATACTTCTACGGCACAACCGCCCCAAGCATTACAGCTTAGGGTTTAGGCTTTAGGGCAAAGTGTAGAGCTTAGCAAACCCTAATCCCTCAACCCCCGCCACCCATAAGTAAATGTTCTCTTGCTCGCGCAGGAGTTGCCCAGCGCGGTGGTGAGGGCTCAGAGGCTGCTTGAAGAGGAGGAGGCCGCAGAGGAGTGAGGGGCTGAAAGGGCTTAAAGAGCCTTGACGATTTGAACCCTAAAACAGTTTAAAGAGTAACATTTTGTTTTACTAAAAATAAGAGTGTAAAGGGTTCTCAAAACGGTTGAAGGGTTTAAAGGTTCAATGTTTAACAAAGCGGTTTAGGCCTTTTAATGGCTTGTAGGGTTAACGGTTCGGGCAATGATGTTCCGTGTGTGGGCCGCTTGTGACATCTGTTCCTCATGAAGCATCCCTAAACCCCAGACCCTAAACCCTATAAACCCTAAACCCTAAAACGAACAATGAGCCCTCCAATCCATCCTGATGTCAGACTTTTGTTCAGCGCGGCTGAGATCTTCGGCGCTTCTTAGGGTTTGTGCCCTAAACCCTAAACCCTAAACCCTAAACCCTAAACCCTAAACCCTAAACCCTAAACCCTAAACCCTAAACCCTAAACCCTAAACCCTAAACCCTATAAACCCTAAACCCTAAACCTCGCCTTCATTCCCAAAGCGCGGCCAATGCCCCTGTAGCCGGCGAGCTTCCTGAGCCTATAGGGTTTATAGGGTGTAGGAGCCAACCTACGTGCTGGGTTCCATGAGCCCTAAACCCTTAACACTAAACCCTTAACCCTTAACCCTTAACCCTAAACCCTAAACCCCAAACCCCAAACCCCAAACACTAACCGCAGGCGGCCAAGGCGGCCAAGGCAGCGACCGCAGCTGCCGAACCTGATTTCGAGAAGGCGCCGTCGACGCCGTCCGCTGCCTCCCTGGCACCCGCCGTGCAGCGCAACGTGCCTTAGTAGCCTTACTGGCTCAAAACTCAACTTTTCAACTTTTGGGCTTCTTATATGGTAGTTTATTCTGAAAGTTTAAGCTTTTATTTCCTTGGGTGTTGGGCCAGTAAGTAGCTGAATGAGCACCTTTACACATTTTAATTTAACCAAGAGGAGGCCCTTATTCCCTTTTTGTAGGGCTTAGGTTCCCTTAAGTTAGTAGCTGAACGAGTACACTTTGCACCTTTTTGAGGGATACGATAATACCCTATAGAACTGAAAGTGTACACTCTTTTTGGGGGCTTATGAACACAGCAACTAAGGTGAAGGGTGAGCTTGGGCATTTCTTCGCGAAGAAGACGCCAGGATCTTTGTTGAGTGGCGCATTCTTTTTGTTTTGCGTGTATACATCTTTGCGTGTTCTGAGTGTTGCGTTTTAACAACCCGGAAGCTGCAGACCTAATTATAGACCTTTATAATAGGTGCATCTCAAGGAACAAGTCAGGATGGGGAGATCTGCAGCGAAAGGCGACATGAACTTCACCACGGAGAGGATTTCTGAGAACCCGCCGATGTTCCGAGCAAAGTGCGACTTAGTATAAGAGCAGGAAACCTTTTAACCTTCTTTGGGGGCCCTATATGCCCTTTAATTATCCCACCCCTAAAACTAACAGCTCCTTAGTAGGGATTCTAATAGGAGGGGTATTCCGGTGAGTAGAAGGGGGGGAACATCCCAAATCGGGTTTAGGGTTTAGGGTTTAGGGTTTAGGGTTTAGGGTTTAGGGTTTAGGGTTTAGGGTTTAGGGTTTAGGGTAAAGGTTCACCTTGAGTTCCCCTAGGATACTGGACAACGAAGGCGAGATCTGGAGCCGTTTTTATGACAGCAAGGAGGCCCACTACAACAAGAAAGCCACCTGGAAGCTCAAATTTTGTTGAAGCTTTGCATTCAGGGATTTTAGGGTGTAGGGTTCGGGGTTTAGGGTTTAGGTTTTAGGGTTTAGGGTTCAGGGTTTAGGGTCTAGGGTTTAGGGTTTAGGGTTTAGGAGTTCAGGCCTCTCTAGGCGTTCGTAGTTGGTCTTGAGTAGGAAGCTCCCTGAAAGGGGATAGCGTTTAGGGCTTTGCATGTAGGAAATTAAGGTTTAGGGCTAAGGCGTTCTTAGTTGTTCTTGCGCAGGGGAAGTTTGGGATGAGGTTTAATGCCCCAGGTATGGTTAGGCGTTCGCGCTTTGCGACTCTGCGGATTTACAAGGATGTCCCATGAGGTAAACCCTAAATCCTAAACCGTTTGCCGGTTTTAGGGTTTGGGGTTTAGGGTTTAGGGTTTAGGGTTTTAACCAACAAAAAACAAGAGTACGCTCACCTTTTGACAAAAGAAGCAGGGGCTCAGGGGAGAAAGGATCCTTGAGAACCGGACGAGCCCCTGTCCACATCTGTCCGCCGCAACTACTTGTCAAAAAAACCTTGTCTCACTTAGCCAATAGTTGAACGTTGACCTTTTGGGTTTCCTTATTACTTAGTACGAAAACGTACAGTTTGACCCTTTTTCCCCCCTTGGCTATGGGAAAAGTAAGTTGTTGAGGCATAAAGTTTTCTCCAGGCACTGCTTTGAGGTTCGTGTGACCCTCCCCTTGAAGAAGACCCGACACCGGGAAATCCTAACCCTAAACCCTAAACCCTAAACCCCCAAACCCCAAACCCCAAACCCCAAACCCTAAACCCTAAACCCTAAACCCTAAACCCCAAACCCTAAACCCTAAACCCTAAACCTCAAGAAAGGCGGCTGAGCACGATGCAGCCCTGGTGGCCCTGGAGACACTCATGGAAGAGTCGGGCATAGGGGTCGCTTTGTGGAGTTTAGGGTTTTAGGGTTTTAGGGTTTTAGGGTTTTAGGGTTTTAGGGTTGAGGGTTTAGGGTTTAGGGTTTAGGGTTGTTGGGTTAGGGTTTTAGGGTTTCAGGGGTCTGGGTTTTCGGGTTTAGGGTTTAGGGTTGTGGGGTTAGGGTTTTAGGGTTTCAGGGGTTTAGCGGTGTTGGGGTTTAGTTTTTGGGGTTTAGGGCTTAGGTTTTTTTGGGCTGAGGGTTTTAGGGTTTTGGGGTTAGGGTTTAGGGTTGAGGGGTTTAGGCTAAAGGAGAGAACCTTACTAGGGGCCTTAGGGGTTATTTAGGGGTTATTGAGGGGCTACTTGGGTATTTTGGGTGGTAAAATGGGGGAATAAGATTAAGGGTCCCTGCTAGGGGTCCCTCCTTATACCCCTCAAGGGTTTTTTTGGGGTTTCCCAAACCCTAACCCTAAGGTTCAGGGGCTTAGGGGTGTAGGGTTTTAAAAAGGGGTTGAGGGGTTACCTCAAGCGGCACTGGAGGGGCGGACCTGTGAATCGCCGGTTTTAAAGCGTTTCGGGGTTGTAGGGGTAAGAGTTTTAGGGTTTAGGGGTTTAGGACTTAGGGTTTAGGGTTTAGGTTTTGTCGAGTCTAGGACCCAGAGGTAGGCCCTGGGTGTTTTAAGGGCTTGGGTTCCCTTCTTTAAGCCCCTTCAGACCAAACAGGGTACCACTTTCATTGCTATTTTACTTTGGGTCCAGGAGTTTGGGGGTTATAGAGTCTAGGACACAGAGTATGTAGGCCCCTGATTGGTTTTAGGGTTTGGGTTCCCTTATCTAAGTCCCTTTAAACCAAACAGGGTACCCCTTTCATTGCTAGGTTACTTTGGGTCCAGGAGTTTGAGATGGATCTAGAGAATCTGAAGACTTTTCGAGCGTTGTCGACACCAAGCGGCCGAATACAGGAGCCTAAAAAGCTATGCCCTTAGGTGAATCATGGGAGCCCTAATCCCATAAACCCTAGCCCTAAACCCGAAACCCGAAACCCTAAACCCTAAGCCCTAAACCCTAAACCCTAAACCCTAAACCCTAAACCCTAAACCCTAAACCCTAAACCCTAAACCCTAAACCCTAAGCCTGACTGCATGTCCAGGAACCCAACCCACCGCCCCTGAACCGTCGACGAAGCTGGACTTACTGGCTCAAAGCCCAACTTCTCAACTTTTGGGCTTCTTATAAGGTAGTACCCTAAACCCTAAACCCTAAACCCTAAACCCTAAACCCTAAACCCTGTTTATTCTGAAAGTTTAACCTTCTATTTCCTTGGGTTTAGGGCCAGCAAGTGGAAAGGCAGACGATGTCATGGACTACAAGGGACAACTCCTGGGCTTCCTCCAATCCGAAGGCTGGGAGACCAGGGGGGGGGGGGGGGGGGGTTAGGGGCTTAGGGCTTTAGGGCTTTAGGGCTTCAGGGCTTTAGGGGCTTTGGGCTTTCGGGGTTAGGGATTAAATTTAGGGTTTAGGGTTTAGGGTTTAGGGTTGTTTAGGCTTTAAGGTTTCCTCAGGTGTGGTCCTCCAATCCGAAGGCCGGGAAAACCAAGCGGGGGCTTCAGGGTTTATTGGTGAAGGTGTCCTGGGGTGGTTGAAAGAAATTTTAAAGGTTTTAAAGTTCGGTGGGCAATACTTTTCTCCCCCAAACCCTAAACCCTAAACCCTAAACCCTAAACCCTAAACCCGATCAAGCCCAGAGAAGCTCACATTTCTACAGGGCCCCCATCGGGACTTAGAGGCCCATTAAGCCACAGACCTGGAAGGGTTTTAGGGTTTAGGGTTTAGGGTTTAGGGTTTTAGGGTTTAGGGTTTAGGGTTTAGGGTTTAGGGTTTAGGGTAAGCCACAGACTTGGGAGGCAGTGGGTTTTGCAACCAGGGTTTTAGGGTTTTAGGGTTTTAGGGTTTTAGGGCTTTAGGGCTTTAGGGTTTTAGGGTTTTAGGGTTTTGGGGTTTTAGGGGTTTGAGGGTTTTAGGGTTTTAGGGTTTTAGGGTTTTAGGGTTTTAGGGTTTGAGGGTTTTAGGGTTTTAGGGTTTTAGGGTTTTTAGGGCTTTAGGGCTTTAGGGCTTTAGGGTTTTAGGGTTTGAGGGTTTTATGGTTTTAGGGTTTTAGGGCTTTAGGGTTTTAGGGGTTTGAGGGTTTTAGGGTTTTAGGGTTTTAGGGGTTTTAGGGTTTTAGGGTTTTAGGGTTTTAGGGTTTTAGGGTTTTAGGCTTCTGGTTGGAGGCAAGCGCGATCAGATCCAGTTCGAGCTGGAGCGCGTTGGCCAGGAGGAGACGCTGGACTGGAGGGCTAAGGCTCTGGCGTTTTTTGATGGGGTTTACCCAACACCCTAGACTTTCGACGCCTTACCCCCAAAAGCCCGTTAAAATATACCAAATTCATGCGTCACAGGTTCCTTATAAAATAGTATTATTTCGCCTTACCTAGAGTCCATGCTTAGCTTGTTTTCGGTGGCGGTCGCCTGCATACAAAAGCATCATCACAACGAGGGCCGTCAAAGTATATCAGTTAGGGTGCAGGCTTTGGGGTAGCTGTCAAGGCCTGTAGTTTTGGTTTTTATTTAGCCTGCGGTTTTTGGTAGAGGCTTCCAGGAAAGACAGGAGGAGAGCGGCTTAGGGTTTAGGGTTTAGGGTTTAGGCAGTTTTTTTGTTTTTTGCACCGGCCCAGGTCAGAAGAGAAGATCTTCCAGGCGAAGGTATGCTTGCCAGATGGCCGCTGCTTCGTTGGCGAGCCTTGCATCTGCTCGGCACCCCTTTGCTAGGTTTAGGGCTTAGGGTTTAGGGCTTAGGGATCTCCGGTCGTCTTGACGTTGTCCTCATCAACCCCATCAAGAAAAGGTACAGTCTAGCGGCCTATGTAATCTTAACGACTACTTCGATAAGGATTAGCAGCAATCTAGGCTCCTGAATTACTCTTTCAACAGGAAGGTTAAGGGTTAAGCTACACATGGAGCTTCAGTGTCCCTCACAACCCTAAGCCCTGCTTGAAGGCTCCAATGTAGTCCTTTTTTGGGGCTTCTAGTATACTACCCCAAAAAGGTACTACATAGGAGCCTTTGGGTAGGTGTTAGGGCAGCCCAAACCCTAAACCCTCAACCCTAAACCCTAAGCCCTAAACCCTAAACCCTAACTCTCACAAAGGAGCCGGAGTCTCGCACCGTGCACGGCTGCAGCGCCAAGACGCGCCGCGCTGCAGAGCAAAACGTCGCGCAGAAGGCACTGCTTCTGGGCTACAATAATAATAGCAATAACAATTATGTCTATTATTGTTTATTTTAGTTTATACTATCATTGGTACTATTACCTACTTCTGGGCGATAACAGGAGTGAGAATTAGGGTTTCTTCAGAATTTGAGGTGTTTGTTTTATATTGTTAAGTGAGATTTATGTGTGTGTGTGTGTTTTTTCTTCGGATTTGGGGTTGAGGGTTCATATTTATAGTGAGATTTAGGTTTTTTTGGAGTTTGAGGTCGAGGGTTCATAATTTTTTAAATGAGATTCAGTGTGTTTTAGGATTTGGGGTTGAGGGTTTATAAATTACAATGAGATTTTAGGGCTGTTTTAGGATTTGGGGTGGAGGGTTTGGGGCTCTAAACCTTGAACCCTAAACCACGGGGTTTAGGGTTTAGGGTTTAGGCTTTAGGGTTTAGGGTTTAGGGTTTAGGGGTTGATTTGGCTCCTGGGCTTCTGTGCGTTGATGAATGCAACCCAGGCGAGCACTGCAAAGCAATGGCAGCTCCAAGGCGGGTTTCGGGCTCACGTCTAGCCTGTCGGGCTTAGGGTTTCTAGGATGCCCAGTAGTACCCTTATTCCCTTTTGGGGGGTTTAGGTTCCCTTATAAACCCCTTTAAGCAAAAAAGGGCACCCTTTTTAAGCCTAGCTTACTGGGCAGCCTAGGTTTAGGCTCAGGGTAGGGTAGAAGCTTCAGCTTGCGAACCCACAAACCGAGTTTTGGTAGGCTACCCAAGAGTACTAGAAGGGTTTACAGCAGCAACCCGCGAAAAAACGAGGTTCTGGTGTGATTTTGGACTTTTGTGGACCTATCTCAGAGTGATTTCTTGGTCTGCTTGCATAGCCTTAGGCTCTGGGATCCCCTTCGATCTAAGGGTAGTTAGAGGGGGTTTCCGAAATTAGGGGTGCCTTATGGGTCCTTATTCTATGAGAATCCTACTACTCGTTGGGGGTCCCTTATTTCCACAAACCCCCATATGGGCCCTTAATATGGTCCCTTACCTCCTTTTCTGGGTTCTGAAGTATGGGCCCTTGGGTTGCACAGGGGTATATAGGGGGTGTAGAAGGGGTCCCCTTCTTGAGGGCCCATACTAAGGGGCCATGTAGCGAACCTAAGATTCAAACCCTACCCAGTCATCCGCCCTTTTTTTTTTGGGGGGGGGGTGGGGGGGGGGTTCAAGGGTTTTGGGGTTCAGGGTTCAGGCTGAAAGGCGCCAGCCGTTCTTCACGGTGGGTACGTAATGAATGCTTGGTTCGCGTAAGATGTCATAGGGACCATGAGCCTTGCCCAGACGAGAGGCCCCCCCTTTTTAGTTGTACCTGGTTCAGTTCCAGGGCTTGGGTACAACAGAAACCCGTGTACTTGGGACGACGGCCGGAAGACTGCCAATTTTTTGCCCATAAGCTACCCTTAAACACTTAACCCCAACAGTCTTGTTTTTTGGGCTCATGTGAAGCTGACAAGGTGTTGGGTTGGGATGTTCCCCCCCTATTCTAAGAGTCTTAATGGGGATTCGAATAATAGGGGGGGGACTATAAGCGGGAACATCCCAAGTTTGGGGGTTTAGGGTTTTGGGGGCTTAATAGGGATTCTAGTGCCCCCTATTATAATCCCCATTCAGGACTGCTAGTATAAGGGGGAACATCCCAACCTAAGCCCTTAAGGCTAGGTTGAGCCTAAACTGCAGAATGCTAGACCCTAAACCCTGTTGGGGGGGGGGGGCTGCTGTTCGGATCTCCCTTACGATCATGAATCATCCAGGACAGCGAATTTGCCCCCTTGCCTCGGCTGGCTGCTCGTGAGGTTGGGGGCGTGGGAAGGTTTTTGGGATTAGGGTTTAGGGTTTAGGGTTTAGGGTTTAGGGTTTAGCATTTAGGGGTTAGCATTTAGGGTTTAGCATTTAGGGTTTGGAGGTTTTGGGGACCATGAAGCCTTTTCAGCGGCCAGTTAGTGCGCAAGGGCTTTCATCGCGGTTCCTGTTACTTTTTGGGTTAGGGTTTAGGGTTTTTTTGGTGGGGTTATGAAGCTAAGGAACCACAGAAGGAAAGGAACGACGGTTTGAGGTCTGGGGTTCAGCTTCGGGTTCATTTTGGCAGGGGATGGCTGGATCCTGAATGTTCATGACAGAAGAGCATGCGCCTCAGGCTTACTTGTATACTGTGTCATATGATTATATACTATATGCTATATTTTACATACACTATATGTATATATATATATGTATATCTATATATATATATATATAGATGTATGTGCGGTTCTAGTTCTAGGTTGTTCTTGAAGCATGACCACGTCCTTCAGGTGCAGGTTCTTTGGCTGCCGTGCGCACCTACCGAGATGCCGTGCCTTCGACGCGTGGCGGTGGAAGGCGACGATTTTTTGGCCACCGCGGAATCGGTTTTGAACTGCAAGAACACGGTCTGCTACCCGCTGAATTGGCTGGGCAACCGTCCAAAGGGATTGTGCGTGTATGAAGCTCTGGACGCTTCTGAAAGTGCGACCTGGCTTCAAACTTCTTACCATAGCAACCCGAGCGTTGTAAGAATTAGACCTCGCATACCCCAACTAAGTTTGCGGCCTGTAAAGGAGTGTACCTACATACTCAAAATACCCCAAGTAGAGGCACGCTTCCGTCTAAAGGTTGTAATGCTGAGTCGCAGTTAGTCTAGGTGGTAAGTCTTGCCTTAGGCACCCAAAACCTACTTCCTGGCAGCTTCTCCGCTTGAAGAACCAACTACTGTATAGGATTCTGAGGTAGCCCTACCTAAAGAAAGCCCAAAACCTGGATTTGTGGGCTCTCATTCTAAAACCCCTTGTAGGATTCTTTGGCAACCTACCAAAAAAAGTAGGGTTTTGGGTTCTTAAGGCAAGGGCCACTGAACCCGAATGCTGAGGTGAATGACCGTGCCACAGCGCTGGCAGGAGTGGACGTCTTCGGTGACGCCTTCATGATGGACGCAAGCGCCCACTCTGCGGGTGCGGAGCTTGTGGACATCACCCTTCCGCGCTACGAGTTTTTGAAGGTGGGCATCCCCCGACCCCAAGCCCGACACTTAAGGAGCATAAGGAGGGACGCTGTAGAAGGGACCCTTAATCTTATTCCCTATATAACCCACAATATACCTTATATAGTCTCTATAAGTAGGCCCTAAACAGGCCCTTAAAGACCCCTAAGGTCCCTTATAAGGGTCCCCCCCCCGCCTTTAGTCCCTTGAAAAACCCGAAGCCCGAAACCCCGCCCTAGGCAAGGGTGCCGCGTTTCGTGCTCCGGGGTTTCGGATTGTCAACCCGAAACCCTAAACCCTGAACCCTGAGGGGTAAGAAGCCTCGAATCTTCCAGAGCCTTGTGCGTACCTTGGTGTTTAGGTTTTTTTCGGGTCTACTCGAATGGCCCTTAAAACCCTCTGAAAAAACATTCCTGAATATGACCCTCTTAAAGTCAATAAGGGAACATATGAAAAATGAAAAGCCCTTAGTCTACAGTTGGCTAGCATCTGTCAATATCGTACCATCACGGACACCAACACGGGACCTAAAGAGAAGGGGGGGGGGGGTGGTTGAGTATAGGTCCACCTTGATGCCTTTGTTCGACAGGGGTTTAGGGCTCATAGCCCTAAACCCTAATTAAGGTTCACCGCAATCAGCTTTCACCCGAAGCGCGAAGCCTCCGAAACCGACTTGGACCTTGCCCTCAGGAGTATAGGAAACCAGTTTAGGGGTTAGGGTTCGTTTTGCTGTTATTAGTGGGTGTGTACAAATACAAATATAAATATAAATATAACTTTTAAATTTCAATAAATATAAAAATGTATATATATATATGTATATGTGCTTCCCAACGAGTCTATGTCGGCTGTCCTTTTGAGGGTTGCGAGGCAGCACGGTACCCGAATCATCTATTCTACTAGTGTGGTTTTTGGGTTGGAATAAGTATATCTCTGTCACTATCCGTATGAAGTTTAGGGTTTAGAGTCTAGAGGGTGTAGGGGTTTACCAGCCACATAGAAGTCCTGAAGCCCTCAGGCCCCTTAGCCCCAGAGGGGGCCCCAACCGGAAACCCGGAACCCTAAACCCTAAAACCTAAACCCTGAACCCTGAACCCTAAACCTCCTCGAATGCTGTGCAGGCCGACCGGGCGGGATACCTCTCCGAGCCGGCTCCGGCCCTGCCCTGCGGTTGATCAAAGTTCTGGGTTAGGGAGGGAGGGGGTTTAGGGGGATTATTGGGTTTAGGGTTTAGGGTTTAGGGTTTAGGGTTTACGGTTCTTAAGGGAGGGGTGTTCAAGGGATTATTGTAACCCAAGGTTCCCTAATACTCCCCACTACTCCCTAAGGCTCCATAAGCTTTCCCAAGGTTCTGTATAGGGATCTACCCCCCAAACCCAGAGATGAACTCTGCAAGAGGGTTTAGGGTTTAGGGTTTAGGGTTTAGGGTTTAGTCTTTAGGCTTTAGGGTTTAGAGACCTCAGGGCTCGGGGAGTTTAGTACGCAGGTTGTAAGCACCGCCAGTTGGCCCTAAGTGGATCCGGGCTTTAGAATTTGTTTTTCCCCATTTCCCCGGGCCCTTGCAGGAAGCCCCAGAGTCTCTAAAGCCCCTTTCAGCCCCCTTCCCAAACCGTGCCCTAGCCCTATAAGCCCATTCTAAAAGCGCTAAGCACGAAAAAACAGAATCTAAACCGAAACCCTATGAACTGTAAACCCTAAGCCAAAACAAGTACCAAGGAACCATAGCCGCGGCATGCTGGTCTGCGGACACCCACAGCTGCCGCAAAAGTTTGCCACCGACTCATGGCTTGGCCTCAACCCCAGGCAGCTCGGAATGCGGCTTTAGGGTTTGGGGTTTAGGGTTTGGGGTTTAGGGTTTAGGGTTTAGGGTTTGGGGTTTAGGGTTTAGGGTTTGGGGTTTCGGGGGGAGCTTGTTTTTTTTGCGCGTCTAGGGGTTTAGGGCGTGGCCCCTCTCTCCCAAGACACCTGTACTAGGGTTTAGGGCTTCGGGTTAGCGCAGGCGGCGCGCCCTCTCTGATACCCTAAACCCTAAACCCTAAACCCTAAACCCTAAACCCTAAACCCTAAACCCTAAACCCTAAACCCTAAACCCTAAACCCTAAACTCTTTAGGGGTCTTCCTTAAGTTGCTGGTTCCGAAAGGTCGGGGTGCTTTTCTTTGGGGAACCCCTAAGCCCTAAACCCGAAACTGCTTCGAATTTTCAGTAGCTCGTAAGGCCCTGTGTAAGTTCCGCAGGACCCTGCTCAATGACGTCGCGCGCCGGCGGGGCCTGGCGCAACCACAAGCGCAGGCTTCTGTCGTCCAGGACGGCTGAAATCTGCGTGCGGATGTTTTGCAAGGGCCTAAGCCCTCCCTAACCCTAACCCAACCATGCATGGAGGTTCGGCTTGATACTAGGATGAGCGATTCAGCGATATAATATCTAGGACCCAGAGTAGGCCCCGTTCCCCTACAGGGTTTAGGGTTCATGGCTCCCGTAGGAGCCCTCCAAACCAAAAAGGATTAGGTTTAGGGTTTAGGGTTTATGGTTTAGGGTACCCTAGGTTGGGTCTAGATAAGTTAAAGGGCCCTCAATCCCCCAAAAGCTCCAGATACACCCTGGCTTCGCACTCTGGAGCTCTAGAACGGGGTTTAGGGTTTCGGGTTTAGGGTTTAGGGTTGAGGGCTTACAGGGCAAACGGTCTTCCGAAGGGGCTGTAGTTCCGATCGTGCAGGCTCGAAATCCCGGGGTGTAGGGTTTCGTGCTTAGAGTTTACGACCCGGGGTGTTAGGATGTCGAGGTTGGGAAAGACCCTGATTTAGGGTCTAGGGCTTGGGGTTCCAGACCCTGAATTTAGGGCTTTTCGTGCTTAAGACCCGGAATAAAAACCGAAACCCTAAACCCTAAACCCTAAACCCTAAACCCTAAACCCTAAACCCTAAACCCTAAACCCTAAACCCTAAACCCTAAACCCTAAACCTAAACCCTAGCCCTAAACCCTAAACCCCGAAGCCTCTAAAGCTGGAGGCCACCAATGGCCAGACCTGGTACCGAGGGGTCGTCTCCCTCCCTGAGTTGGACTTCCAGGTGGGCTTAGGGCTTAGGGCTTAGGGCTTAGGGCTTAGGGCTTAGGGTTTAGGGTTTAGGGTTTAGGGTTTAGGGTTTAGGGTTTAGGGTTTAGGGTTAGGGTTTAGGGTTTAGGGCCGTTTAGGGTTCAGGTTTTTGAGGGTATTTAGGGCCTGAGGGTATCTATGGCTTGAGGGTATTTAGTATTGAGGGTATGGAGGGTATTTAGGGTTTGAGGGTATTTAGGGTTTGAGGGTGTTGAGGGCATTAAATTAGGGTTTGGGGGTATTAAGGATATTGAGGGCATTGAGGGGTTTGAGGGCTTAGGCTTGATCCTCCAGATAGGGTTTTGGGATGGCAGTCACCGACCCTAGCTCAAATCTTACACACTCGGGTTGACGGAGTATTAGAAGGCGTCTCAGGCAACCTAAACCCTAAACCTGAAACCTAAACCCTAAACCGCTCTTCGGGGATTTGCGCTATCGGCTTTCTGGCTTCACACGTTCAAGCAGCTACCCAAACAACTCGATAGGGTCTACGGTTTAGGGATTTAGGGTCTGTAGGGTTTAGATGTTTAGGGTTTAGGATTTAGGGACTGTAGGGTTTAAGGGTACATAAACAACACTAAACGGCGGGGGAGGGGTCGGGCGGCTGTGTGGGCTGTTGTAAGTCAGGGTCCCTGCTTTGGGAGGAAGCCCCTGATCCCGAAACCCCACGCCCAAAACCCTACACCTAAACCCTAAACCCTAAACCCTAAACCCTAAACCCCAAACTCTCTCTAGAACCCCTAGCCCGAGCCTTGAACACTAAACCCTGACCCCCACACGCTGGACCCCTAAACCCCTCAAACCGAAACCCCAAAACCCCCGAAACCCCATTTCCCTAAATCCCTAAACCCCCAAACCCAAACCCAAAACCCCCTTAAACCCTATATAAACCCCTGAACCCCAAACCCCCTAAACCCTAAACCCCCGAACCCCAAACCCCCAAACCCCCAAACCCCCAAACCCCCTCTGGGACCCATAAACTCTAAACCCTAAACCCTAAACCCTAAACCTTAAACCCTAAACCCTAAACCCTAAACCCTAAGCCCTAAACCCTAAACCCTAAACCCTAAACTCTAAACCTGCAGCCAGGATGAGGGTGCCTTGGCCACGAGCAAGGCCGAGACGCAGCAGGATGCAGCCCTGAGGATGCTTCACAGGCCTCTCTAGGGTTTAGGGTTTAGGGTTTAGGGTTTAGGGTTTAGGGTTTAGGGTTTAGGGTTTAGAGTTCAGGGTTTAGGGTGTTTGGGGTTTAGGGTTTAGGGGTTGGGGATTTAGGGGTTGGGGTTTTGGGGTTGGGGGGCTGCGGGTTTCGGGTTTCGGGTTTAAGGTGTTTGGGGTTTGGGGTTCAGGGTGTAATTCGGGTTTAGCGCTTTAAGTGTTTCTTTTTTGTTTCTCTGGGCTTCTTGCGCGTAGCTGGGGGTGCTCGTTGGGTTTAGGGGCTTCCCAGGAGACCGGAGCTTCACTCACAAATGGGGGGGTGTTGCAAGAGCCGCTAATAGAGCAGAGTGGTTGCATCATGGTAGTTTAGGGCTTAGGGTTAGGGGTTTTGGGTTTAGGGTTCAGGGTCTAGGGTCTAGGGTTAAGGGCTTACATGAAGCTCCTTAGCAGGAACCCTGAGAATCGTGGGTGTGTAGGGCTTGGCTGGATATAGATCTCTGCACGTGTTTTAGAGGTCTTTTAGGGCTTATAGGTTGGGATGTTCCCTCTTCTTGACAAACTATAGTCCCGATGAAAGACTGTTCGTATAAGGGGGGAACATCCCAATTTCTAGGGCTCGTGACATTGTAGGGTTGGTAGGGTTTAGGGTGCAGGCTTCGGGGCTTAGGATTACGGACGATAGTGAAAATCTCGGCTTTGCGGAGCTTATAGTGTTTAATCGTAGGTTTCAGGCGCCTAGGGCTGAGAGCGTCTCCAGTGAGATCGGGAGATTTGAGGGTTCTGGCTGCATGGGCGCGGTGGAAGGGAGGCGTTACCCTAAATAATAGGGGCCGCCTTGCAGTAAGGACCCCAAAAGGGACCACATCTTAGAGAAGGAGTTTTTTACTGAGTGTAGTTTGGGCACAGGGCGGAGAGGCTACCTCGCGTGCCCTATCGCGACGTACCGGGGGGTGCAAGCGCTCCTCGAGGGGCAAACTCTTGAAGCCTAAACCCTTAAGCTCCTAGACCCCGAAGCCTTTAATCTTGGGACGTTCCCCCTTATACTCACCGTCCTTAGTAGGGGAAATAATAAGGAGTACTATAATCCCCATTAAGGGGGTCACAGGTACCTGAAAAACCTGGTGACTTGGAGGTTCGGACGCTGTTTTCACGTGGGTTTTAGCCGCTCAAGCACAGTCTGCATGTACATTTTTCAGGAACGCGAGAATTAGGTTAGGATGTCCCACAGCAAGAAACACTGTAAAAAGCCGATGGTTTTTGATCTTTTATCTTGTGAACCTACAAAAATCTCAAATATGTCACACAGAAGTACACATCACTCCTTTCAGTTCGGGCGTTCTTGTGAAAGGACGCAATGGCGGCAAACAAGCACATAAAACAATCGTTTTTACGATGTTTTACGACATGGGTCAGTTTTGGCATGTTTTTTTTTTTTTTGCTGCTTCTCGTTCGCATAAGCCTTGCGACAGTGCGTCTTGTTACAGCAACTTCAAACGTCCTGGCGCAGCATTTTCGTGTAGAGGAGACAAACGCTGTAAATACCGGTGTTTTCGGCATGGATAGAGTAACATGGTCGTACCCCAAAAAAATCAAACCTGTCCAAAAGTTCACGAAGCAACCAGGTTTTTTAGGAACCTGCTTCCATCAAGGACTGCTAGTATAAAGGGGAACATCCCAATTCAAGCCCTTAAGCCCGAAAACCCCTAAACCCATAAACCCCTGAGCCCAGAACCCCAGCCAAATTTCACGAGGCTACAGCGGCATGACGAAGCCAGGGGCGCAACGCCGCTCCACTGACCTGACGAGTGAAATTGCTTCTTTCAGGGTTTAGGGTTTAGGGTTTAGGGTTTAGGGCTTAGGGCTTAGGGTCTAGGGTTTAGGGTTTAGGGCGCCCCAAACCCCAAAGCAGTTAGTAGGTTGTGACTTACAAGTCGTGCGATAAACGACCCCAACTGGGGTTTCGTAGCCGCACTCAAAGCTGACAAAACCCTAAACCCTAAACCCTAAACCCTAAACCCTAAACCCTAAACCCTAAACCCTAAACCCTAACCCCTAAACCCTAAACCCTACTTAGAGAAGCTCTGGGTGCTCTCACTAGTTATGTGGGTTATGCATGCTACTTAAACAGCTGCCAAAGGATTGCTAACTAGCTGTCCCGACATGAAAACACGGTTTAGGGTTTAGGGTTTAGGGTTTAGGGTTTAGGGTTTCCTTCCAGACGTGAGACTTCAATCATTCGAGTAATCGAAAACCATTCAAGAACATTGCAAGGAGAAATACGTTCAGGCTTGTTTTCCATATTTACCCACTTAGAGATTTTTTACATGCCAGAAGGTTTCCCAGGAAGCCCCACAGTCAGTGTTGTCTGGGGAAACCCTGCAAACGCGTCAAAGCCTATTCACCCTGTAAACCCTGTGCACTGTAAAGCCCTACAAATTACAAACACCCCCCATAACTAAACACTCCTCAAAACCTGCAACAAGCCCTATAAACCCCTATCAAGTCCCCCAAATATCCTGTAAAAACCGCTCCAAACCCTTAACTCTAAACACTAAACCCTCTGCCCTCTAAACCCTAAACCCATCTAAACCCTAAAACCTCTACCCTCTAAACCCTAAACCCTAGATCTCTCAACGCTTCGGATCTCCCCTGCAAGCCACGCCACCGAGGTGGGAACATCCGCTGGTGAAATCTGGGCTGGCCCTGGCGGTTCGAGGTTCTGCTTGGGGTTCAGGGCTTGAGGTGTCTGGGGTTTAGGGGTAGGACTTAGGAGTTTTAGGGTTTAGGGGTTTAGGGTTTCGGGGTTTAGGGTTTGGGGGTTTAGGGGTTCGGGGTTTCGGGATTTTTGCGTTTGGGGGCTTAGGGATTGGAGGTCTTGGGGTTGTGGGATGCCGGGTTTGGGAGGCTAGGACTTGGGAGGTTGGGACTTCAGCTATGCTAAAGGTACATGAAGTCGCAGTTATGGTTAGGGTTTGGAGTTTAGTGTCGAGGTTTTGGTTTTAGGCAGGGTCCCCCTGCCCTAAACCCTAAACCCTAAACCCTGAACCCTAAACCCTAAACCCT